GTGACGGGGACGACACGTCCTGTCCTCCTACCTCTCACTCGCCTATCTTTTTTTTTTCGCACGTTTTTATCCGTTTTTTGAACATTATAGAAAAATTTGTCTAGAAAAATCGGTCTCGGTCCTTGTCCAAATACTCGCTCGCTCAAGTATTGGAACACGACGCTACTCTCTCTCTCTATATATATAATATATATTTATATATATAATATGTATATATCAATATATATTTTTAGTTATCAATTGATTTAGGTGAATTGGTACCTAGGTAAGTTTCGCTACACAATTATATCGATCGATTAGTGGAGTGTTTGCGTGTGTGTGTGTGTGTGTATACGCATATGTGTATATGCGAGTGTGTGGCCGCGCACGAGCGCCCGTTTGACGACCGTGCTCTCGCGAAGTGTGGTCTGAGAAAAATTTTCGCCTAATATATGAGCTGGCATCGCGCGCGCACACACGCGTGATTTCCGCACGCGCGAGCACGCCGGCGTTTTTCTCATATACACACATACATATATATATATGTATATATATATATAAATTTGCCCGCGATAACAACACGGATATGCCCGATATCGCGGCCCCGTATTTTAATTTATTTACCGCCCGCGTGTGCCGCACGGATTATGCCACTTTCTCTCTCTTTCTCTCTCACTTTCACTCTCTCGCTCTCTATCTTCCTTTCTCTCTACTTCCCTTCTTTCTTTCTCTCTCTCTCGCTCGCTTGATTTACAAGAACGGTGACTCGTATGTAAAATTGCACTAACTAATGCTCGTATTCTCTCGCCTATCCCTCGTCGTGTCCCCCCTACTCGCGGTCTCCGTTTTTCTCCTCTCCCGCCGATCCTCTCCTCTCGATCGAAACGATCCTGGGCTTCCGTTAAATGCGTAAAAAAAAAACTCGATCGTGTCTGTTTAGAATATTGCGAGAGATAGCAATGGATAGAAATTCAACGTACTCGCTCTACTAATTAATATATGTATAATTGTATACTATGTTCGCCCACCTCCTTCCCTTCTCCAAAAACCTTCGATCGCGCCGGGCAGCGACTTGAATTCGATTTCACGTACCCCGGTCATATTTTATCTACAATTTCGCCCGCGTTTCGGTCGGATTCGGACCCAATCGTGCTCCAATCCTTAGTCGAGAGAGTGCGCGCGAGTCAAAGAGGGCCGGTGACGAGAGGGTTCTTCCTCCCCTATCTTCTTCGACATTTATTAATTCCCCCCCCCCCATTCACCACCACACGCGTGTCTTCGCGTACCGAGCGATGTTTCTCGGACGAAGGGACGGAGGGTCGTCGTTGAACGCGGCCGCCTCCCCTGCTGCGACTTCCGTCGTGCAGCATCCGCCTAATAATAGCGCATTCCCTCCCGTGCGGTTCCCTAATAAATGCCGCTGCCTATCTCTCTACGCGCGGCGAGACAAGATATCATATATATATATTCTTTTTGTACATATATGTATATATATGCACACAAAAGGAGTACCAAAAAAATAAATATATATATATGTATATAGACTTGTGTGTGTGATTACTTCTTTTTGTTTCTTCTCTCTTAGATCCATACGCAAATACGTGTATCGGTATGCTGCGTGCTCTTTTGTATGTGTGTGTGTGTGTGTGTGTTTGTGTTTGTTTGTCATGTCGCGGATTGTACAAAGTCCGATAAGTCTGTGTGCAGAAGAAGAGTATCACGAGAGAGACTCGTCATGCGAGGTTTAAACTACGTCGTCCGACTGCTGCTGCTACGTACAGAATGTGGCTGTCTTTTTTTTTTGTCATCTACGAAGCGGAACACACAACGTTGTATACTAATTCCGAGGACGGCGCTTCCCAGCCCCACGACCTCTCGGCCGCTTCGCGAAGGAACGACCCGGCTATTGTCGGAAGTATTGTGAAGAGACACGCCTTTTTTACATAACAAAAGAGTCACTGGGAGGTGACGAACGTCCGGTATTAGCGCTAAGCCTGTTTCCTCCACTACTGGGTTTAGTTATCAAAAGTATCCTAAGGATATCCCCGAGGGAGAGACGAATGGCGGTACGGAAAGTTGCTTCCGTTTCCGGTGTAACGCGTCGAAGAGTCGTTTCGATTAAACCGGGCCGGGATCGCCGCGGAATTCCGCTGAGAGGACACGCGGTAGGAAGCGTCGCGCTTAAAATTTACGGAGGTCCTGCGGGTCTGCCAACCAAGACTCTCTCTCTCTCTTTTTCTCTCTCTCTCTCTACACTGAACCCTTCGAGAATAGAAATCCTGCGTTTCAGCGAAGGGTGAGCTCTATTTTCCCCTCCCACCCCCTTTATCCTTCCTCCTCCTCTCATTTGAACTACGGCGATTGCGTTTGATTATATACACCCAGCGAGGAGGACCGTTTCGTTTCAAAGGGATTAAGAAAAAAAAAACGTGCACGCTCGCGGTCGCGATTAATAAACGCCGGTTAATCGATTAATCGGTTAGAGGAGAGGGATCGGTATGTATGTACAGGAGCGGACAACATGCGGCATTCTCTATATATATATGTATATATTGTACGAATCTGTAATAGAATGTCCCGCGCGAAACGCGACCCCCTCAAGACGCGCCGCACGCTCTTGCACATCATCTATCGGACGTATGAAGAGAGTAATTAGATACGATCATTTGCTATTTATAACGATGCTTCGGTATTCCCGCGAGTCCACGGTTTCTATCGCTACTTTGGTTTCGAGAAACGACATCCCCCGCGTCGCGCTTCGCACACGTGCGTCTTTTTCCTACCCCCCGCGGAGTCGAGCGCCGATCGTTTCGCCGCGCGAGAGAGAGAGAGAGAGAGATAGAGAGAAAGAGTTTGTCGCTCGTTTCGCGAGAAAGAAGGGAACGCACGGGCTCGGACGCGCGGATGTTCCGCGCTTATTATCGAACGTTTTCGGGGTGGGAAATCGTGTTCCGCAGATACACGGCTTCGCCGATCGTTCCCGTCAGCGCCGATCGCGGCGATCGTTCGTATTGCACACAGTAGTAAAGTCGGGGGTGTAAAATTCGCGAGCGACAGCGGTGGCGGCAACGATCCTCGGCCCTCGCGTTCCCCCGCGAGCGAGCGAGCGAGCGGCGGGACCCTCTTTCCCTTTCGCGAGCGGACACGATACGCGCGGCTTCCGGGCGCGAGGGCTCGTGAAGGTCACTCGCGTCAGTGGGGGGGAAAGAAAATCCGGCACGTGGATGCTCCCTAGGCTGGACAACCTGGCGCGCGTCGCCACGTGTACAGCCACGTGCTCGCTCGCTCGCTCGCGCTCGAAGAATTTAACTACTTCGGTTTCCGTTTGTCCTCCTTCCGTCGTCCGTATGACACCTCTTCTCGCTAAACTCTCTCTCTCTCTCTCTGTCGGTCCCCCATTTACGTTTCTTTTCCGCTTGCATTTTCCTCTACGTTATTTCCTTCTCACGTGAATAAGTTAATTGGTAAAAAATTATTTTGCCAGGCGCCACCCTACGAGCGCGCGGTCGCGCCATCCGCGCGAGAAACGCATTGCGCAACGCACTATGTAACATATTTTAATAAGTTCTTAATAACTAGGAAACCGTGTACGTGTGTATGTTGTGTATGTGTGTGTGTTTTCTGCGTTTGTGATACAGAGAATTACCTACACAGCGGGTTGAAGCGTGGCTTTTTTCATTATTGATTAACATCCAATGCGAAAACGCGACTCGTCTCTATCAACTATTCCTGTCACTCTCGTTCGGGTTTCCTGGTTTTCCCACCGGCCCTCATCACCTACGCGTCTTTTCCGACCTCGTTGCTCCCACTATCGCCCCCCCCCCCCTCCCTCATTTGCCCTCCACCTCTTGCTTGCTCTCTCTCATTCTCTTCCAATCCCCATTCGTTCATTCTGGCAGCACACTCTCGCGTCGAATCAGGTACTCGCGTTTCTTACGAACATTCGTCGCGCGGGAATCACTACTTTGCTCGCGGAGCGCACGCGGGTGTCTTCGTACGAAACGGACGACGTCGGCGGGGAAAGTACGAGCCCCCGTTCGTCGAGAGGTCGCCCCTCGCCCCCGCGTCGCGTCCACCCGGGTCGCGCCTCGCAAAATGAAAATCCCGCTCGACCGGGATGGACGGCGTCGGGGAGGAGGAGCTCCCTCGGTTCTCTCGGCAACGCGGCAGTCGAACTCGGAAGGGACGCGATCCGCGACGGATCGAGACGCAAGCGCGAGGCGGATCCGGTAAAACACTCGAGGAGGATCGGCGCCGGCAATCGGCGCGGGGTACGTACGCGAGGGCAGCAGCGGCCCCTCCCACGCTTGTGCTCGCTCCTCGAGACTCGCGGTAACTAACAATACTCGATCTCTCGGACAGAACCGGTGCATTTTACAGCGCAGACAGATAGGATTATTACGTGTACGAGTAATTCGATATACTGAGAATCCGTGTCCGTTTCTCTTTTGAATCCTGTGTCTCTTGGCATGTGTCTTTCTTCGTTTTCTTCATCTGTTTCTTCCTCTTCTTTTTCTTCCGGCTCGGCGTGGATCCGATCGTCCCCCTCCTCTTTGCTATCTTCAGACGCGCCGTCGTCGGGCGCGCGAATCTGTTTCCGGTTCGACAAAGTCATCTAGAACGGCACAGTTTGGCCCGACGATGATACCGGCGGTAGTTAGCAAGTCGTTACGAATGTCGAGGTCGAAGATCGGAACGACGCCGAGAGCCAGCATCGACTGGGCGGGCAACAGCGGCTGGTTTCTTCCTCCAGTATAACCGGTACAACTTGAAGTAGTAGCAGTGGAGTAGTAGTAGTAGTAATAATTTGTAGTAGAATAGTAGTTGTGGTAGTAGTAGTAATAGTAATAATAGTGGTAATAGAGTAGAGTAGTGGTAGTACGTAACGATCGAGTGGTGGTAGTAGTAGTAGTAGTAATAGCAGTTTTGAGGCTGTGTTCTTGTTGTAGATAAGTAAGTAAGTAATATGGGGGTAGAGGGAAAGTGAGGGTTGGTTTGGGGCACGTGAGGGGAGGGTGGGAGGGGAGGAATATTGATAGAGGTGGTAGTTAATTAGCTAGGGCTGCGAGATAATTAGGGACAACGCAGCTGGGGTTAACACCAGCGGAAAGGCACGGCCCGAGGCCGATCCGCGCCCTCCTTCACCAGCGGCTTGTGGAACTCCCGACCTGGCCGGGAGTGGATAGTTGCCCAGCAATGCTCGCAGTAGTACTGAAAGTAGACAGTATTACAATTCGGATTTCAATATTGAGTCCATTAAAACGTTTAATCTTCTCTTTTATACGAGAGAAAGGACGAATTGCGTGACTGATTATTAACTGAATAGAGTAATCGATAGGCGTGGCGGGGTCTTTCATCTGACTCCATTATTAAAAGATACCATTTCAATTTTGAATCGCGTGGACGGGACTTTTGGATGATCGTGCATCGAATTTTAATGGAGTTGCTCTTCGCCAAGACATTCGCGTAGGAATCTCGAATCCCCGGCCTCGAATTAATTGGGAATAAAAATATATCGAGCTACAATGTAGAAATGTACCTGTAGGCAGGTGACGTTGGCGCAAAAGAACGGCGCAAACTTGCCTCCGCAACGCTGGCCTTGACATTCGTCGCACATCTGATCGTCCAAAACATATGGTTTCACTTCAACCTGTTCGAGAGATCATCGGTATGGTCAGACAATGTGCGAAACGCTCCAAGTATTTCGAGCAAATATAATCGCTCGGGGAACGTGATTGTAAAGTCTCGTCTTTGAAACAATCTTACAAATCGTGGGCTTAGATCTGTCATTCTTGTCCCAAGTTCTAGCATCGTGGACACGGGTCTTTAGAGACGTTGCTCGCGCGAGCCCTCTCGGAAGGGTACAACTTTTCCTCGTACTCACCCTCTTATCGATATCGCCGTGCTGCAGCTGTACGAATCTGGCTGAGATGGCAGCTATGTAGCTTTGCTGATTACTGAAGGCGACCCTGCCGGCACCTTTGGGATACTTGAGCTCGGGATCGGTGTCGATGCCGGCGTAACAGACACCGCCGTAAAGCCGGTCCATGATCATCGCGAGCTCGACGGCCTTGAGCGGTCGCGGCACCCCGCCGACGAAGACCGTCTTTCGCGGATCGAGCGGCATGGAGGCGTCCAGCACGAAGTCGGCATCGCTCAGCCGCCAAGGTCGGATCTGCACGGGCTTATCCTTGATCGTGGGCGAGCTTACGCAAAGGTAGAGCTTGTCCTCGTCCTGAATGCAGGCGTCTATCAGCTGCTGCACCGAACCCTCGTCCTGGAACAGTCGCGTTCGAGATTACTCACTTTCTATAGTTTTACCAATCCAAATAATTCAACAATAAAGAGAAGAAGGAGGCGAATTGCGTACCTGGAACAGCAGAAACGCGTAGCCTTTCGGCGGGAAGTAGGATTTGCTCTCTGCCTTGTGCGGCCAGTCCACGACGAGGGGGCCAAAGCGGCGGAAACTGGCGGTGATCTCATCTGAATCGGGGAGAAGATGCGTTGCGATTACTGTTCGTTTCTACTCTACGCCCCGCGGATAAATCTATCTTAGCAGATACGTAACACGATCGTGCCCGCGTACCTTCGTCGATGTCGGGCGGCAGTCCGCCGACGAAGACTTTCCTGGAGAAACGCTCGCCGGTTTCGCTGCCCTGACTGTGCGGACTGCTCCGACTCGGCGACGAGAGCGGGGCCGCCTGGGACGCCGTTATCCCGCCGCCCACGCCGACGCCGACGCCTACTCCGACACCGACGCCGACGCCGTCCAGCTGGCTCGGCGCGTTCGGATCCTCCAGCAGGTTGCCACCTTGCTCTTCGAGACTCGGGAAGAACGGAGATTTGCCTGGAACACGAAACAGTTTCCCCATTTCAACGATCGGTCCCGTCGAGAGGCGTGTGTCTTAGACTAAGTCGAGCGCGGATAAATCAGGAGATGCAGATGCGTGAAAAGAAAAGCATCGATATCGCAATTGAGGGAAGTTTCGCGTCTTTTCGCCGGCCCGAGTGGCACTGGGCGGAATTGGAGCCACGTGCGTCGATCGGGGCCGATTTACGTCGCAAAACGAGAGATCGTTACGGATCGTCCGCGGGAATCAAGGTCCGGATCTGACATTCATTCGTTGTCGGGGAATTCATTATGCAATTGTGCGGAATCACGTAACGAGCGGCGGGAGAATCGCGCGTATTATGTATACGTGAGAGACAGAGGGAGGAGGGACGGGCGGGACGAGGAGAATCGCGCGCGCAATGTGGGCGCTCTCTTTCGACACGACTTCTTTTCTTTCTCCTTTTTTTCCTAACCGGAAGTTTGTGCGCTGCACGCGGCTGAAATACAGCCTCGTAAAGGCGTAATGCCGATTACGTAACGCGACGTTCCCGGCATCGTTTCTAGACTCGCTTCGAGAGAGAGATAAGGAGACAGTTCCTTTAAAATATCGGACGATAAATCGCTTAATGCCGCGAGGCTGAAATTATATTATACGGGCATTTAGCGTCGAATTCCTGGGAGAGACACGCACAATCGTCGATTTGACCTATCGAATATTTCTTCTTTTTCTCTCTTAAAAAAAAAGGACCGAGAGATAAATTTGCGAGAAGCGCGTTACTTTGCCAAGGCACGTGCCAAATATTATGCACGGCTCGAAATAATTAGAGTAACGATTAACACATTCGCCGCCAAGCCCGAACGTGGTGCGTGGCTCTTCATTCACGTCAATTAAATTATTTCGTATTAAAAGGAACAACGAAACGTTTAATTTATAGCGGCAAATTTGCAGTATTGCAGTACTGAATTGCACAAAAATATAATATTTGTGACGTATTTATTTGACCGGCGTCCCGTGATCGACCAGGCGTACATGGAAAGCTCAGTGTCGATCACCGCTCAGGTAGCGAGCTGACGCTTACTTGACGTTATTTCGACGTTAAAATGGCGGCGAATAACGCCAGCTCGCCACCTGGGCGGCGGGTGCGTCGAGAGAGCCTGAATTACTCCATTTAAATGAACGTATCAATTGTGTGCATAGAGGAGAGTCTCCTATTGCGCTTCTAATATGAGATTGCGGGTTTCTGCCAAATTAATAGGTGTTGGTCCCATCACGGGTTGCCCTTGGGGTGAGATCTGCTTAGTGGAAAATTGATTATTAGCTCGTGTAATCGTTGCGAAAAAAAGATTTGCGATTGAATTCGGACGTTGAAAACCTGCCGCCTCGTAACAGAGGACTTTCCTCTATGGAAAAAAAAATCGAGCTTGCGTATCGAAGGACATTTTCGAAGCTTCGCAGTTTGGACGTAAGAAACACTCTCGCTTCCGACCGTTATGTAAATACAGGACCGTAATGGGCGCGATTTACCACGTATTATTTCGTTTAAATGTAGTCATTAAATTACGTAAAAGGGGGAGGGAGGGGGAGGGCTTTGAAAGTTGCGGCTCCGAAAGAGGCCTCGGCCCGGCGCCGGTGAGCACCCGGTAATTTGACGGCAGCGTCCGTTTCGGAGCAGGACGGTCGAGCGCGAGAGGCAGAGCCTCACTACCGCCTAACACGGGGAGATTCGCCGGCGTGCAATCAACGGTCATTAATTACTTGCGCGGATAATAAACGGTACGCGCGGATCGCCGCGAGCTCGGACAATACGACTCGCGGCCGTCGAGAGAAAAGGTCACCTCCGGCCGATCGTCCCGAATAAGGTGCGGAGAGATCGAGAGAGAGAGAGAGAGGAGAGATACTCACTGTATCTCCTCCTGAAGGGAAATCTCGCTCGTCTGATAAACGTCGCCATGCCCTCGATCGACGATCGAGATAACGAGCCGACAACGGGCGGGGGATTCGCGCGCGGCTACTGCACTTATCGTCCACGGGACGCCGTTTGTTTTCTCCCGTCGTTGTTAAGGGAGGGGCGAGAAAAAAAAAGGAGAAACAGTAAACAGGGTGCAACGCGCATGAATGGCACGAATGGCGGAACGCGCCGCCCGGCTCGTCGGAACAAGCGAGCGCGCCGCTCGCCTTTTCTCCGCGTCAATGTAATGATCGAACCGGAAACGTAACGAGGGCTACCAACCGTGGACTACGTTTACACGTTTACCCTCGATCGGGTTTAATAGCATCTGCAGTTATAAAACTGGCCAATCGCAGCATTTCTTCGGAAGAATGGAATGGCTGCGATTGGCCGGCCCCCTCGACTACGGATGCCATTAAACCCGATTAGGGTGCCGTGTAAACATAGTCATAGACATAGTAAATCTAGACCCGGTATTCATAGTCAGAGCTTACATTCAAGATCGTCTTGAAATTATCCAAGGACGCTGTATGGAACATTTTATTGGCTACGGAGTATCTAAGGATGATCTTAAGACGGTCTTGAATATAAGATCTGACTATGAATACCGGTCATAGACTGAGCGTTCCATTGAATAAGCTGAAGCTTGTGAAGAGAAAGAGAGAGAGAGAGAGAGAGATTTAAGAAGACTTTTTTTCTGTCTTACACCATCGTAAAAGGAAAGAGTCGTGCCTGCGCGATACTACACAAGCGTGATTTTCCCTTCTCACGATGGTGTGAGACAGGGAAAGAGAGTCTTCTTAAATCTTCTCCGTCTCTCTCTGCACAAGCTTCAGTTTATTCAATGGGACGCTCAGTCTACATTTACCATTAGCGAATTCGATTGCTTGCGCGCGCTGTGTGCACACTAAGGTCGGTTTACAGTAAATTTTTATATTTAACTTTGCCTTAGATATATGTTCAAAGAGTGTTGAGCCAAAAAATCATCCGTATGGCTGCCGTACAGATCGTTTTACCGGCTACGAAATATTTCAAGAAATATTCAAGACTATTCTTAAATAGAAGAATTGTGCAAGTAACCGAATTCGTTATAAGTCTATGCTACCAACGTCTTGCTCGGACCTAAAGCGCTCTCGCTAGTTCGATTCTTTATTTATTTTTTAAACGACACGCGGGCTCTCTTCTCTATCGCGAGCTAATTATCTGTGAAAATGGGTCGCGCGGGCGCGACACCGGGTGTTTTGCTTCAAGTACGCCCCGGCGATTCGGTGACGGGCGAAAATTACGGGTTCCCTCGGCCGGAGTCGATCGAGCGTTAATTGAAAGGCCCGCGGGAACGGCACTCGCGGAGGGAAAGACGTTACGGAACTCCCGAGACGAAGGCTTCCTGCACGGTGCACGGCCCGGCAACAATAATCCGCCGATAATTTCTTCATGCCGACGTTTAATGCTCGACGTTCGAGGGAGGTGCCGGCCGCGAAATTGCGGCGTGAATGTAAAACTTTCGTGCGCGGCGGGAATTACGTAAGGATCGGGCCGATGCACGCGGGCGTGGCGCAGCTTCCGCGCGTAATTTCCAGGTGCGAGCAGACTGAACGCGTCGACCGCGTTGGATTCGTATACGGATTTTAACCGCCTCCGGAGACGCACGGTGAGAATTTGTGGAGATTTTATAGCCACATTTGTGCCGTTTCCGCAATCGTATTTGCTTCCACGCCACTTGCGCGAAGACTTTGTCTCGTAATGGCCCGCACGGAGGTTCCCGAGGCGCGGGGCGTCGCTCGCTGAGAAAATAATGTGTTTGTTCCGACACAAATATCCGGAGAACGAATTTACAAGCGGGAAGAAATCCCTCGTCGATAACTCGTGGGGGGGGGGGGAACAACTTCGTTTCGTTATTTATCGCCTCGTTTCGCGCCTGCATTTGAATCGATTAGAACCGGTTCATCGGCGGCGTTAATTGCCCCATTGCCGCGCGTTAAGTTCGAGGACTGCAGTAAAGTAATAATTCCGCGGGCCTTTCCCTCATCCTCGTCGACATAACAATTCCGCGTTACAATACCATTGCACCGCGACGGCTCTAATCCCCTCCCCCCCCCTGTGAGAGATACTTTACGTTCTACCTGCTCTAGCCGCTTACGTCGGTGTCTTCGACTTCACATGCCTCTCACGCACATTAGCATAATTAAAACACCGAGCGCGTCTACAATTCGCCGGCGAATAATCGATAAACATGTAAACGAACCCCCGCGAACCCGCGCGCGCGTAGACGACGAGCGGGACGCGCGTCCGAAAAAGTCACCGTACGCGGAGCCCACGTAATGAATAATTTTCTTGAGTAAAGTAATATTAGGATATTTTTTTAATCAGCGTAGTCTCGCAATATTTGCAAAAAAAAACGGGGTAAACTTTGCGGAAATTTGGACTGGTCTAGAAATGATTTGATAAAATGATTGACAGAAGAAAGCGCTCCATCCGCCTCCGCTCAATTGCGTTTTCGAAGCGGCGGATAATAAGCAGATAAACGTGCTCTTGAGGAAGCGCTACCAGATTTGCGTTATAATAAATTTCCACTCAAACGTCTTTATTATTTATTACGCGCGTCACATTCGATGACTCGACTGACTCGACTGACGAAGGAGCCGTTGTCCATTACGACAATAAGTATTTCGCAGACGTCACCGATAGTAATTTAATACCGTTTCTCCAAGCTCGCGGTTTTAATGAAAATCAGGCAAATAATGATACTACTCGACGCTACTGGCTATAATTTAATTAGAAGAAATTTATTGTGTAAAATATCACCTCGGGTTCCTGGCCGGGGTAACAAATTGTCCGCAATAAATTTCTTCTAATTAAATTATAGCCAGCGGTGTCGAATAACGTTGCTGTTTGTTTGCTGTTTACTGGCAAAGAAAATGATTATTATTCAAACTTAATGAAAAAAAAATCGTACGATCGCGAAGAAAGATAATTATTAATTATCCGCGCTTCTTGAACTTTAGGGGCTCGCGTGGGGCGCAGCGCGGGCTTAGCGTACGTTGAAAAAAGATACACGATACACGA